CACTGGAAGCCGCACGTCACACACACCGCAGCAGCCGCAGCATCGCCACTCGCACACCTCATTTATTGTCCGCCCACTCCAAAATACGCACCCACCGTGCGAGGGTAAAAGACACGCGGAGGAGAAACCGGCCGCACAGCGCACCCACACAGCCGCAACGCGAAGGACGCGGCGAATCCACGTCCACCGCACAGTCTGCCGCTGCCGCACATTTGCCCTCACCGATCCGCATCACACCGCACGGCAGGCTGCGATGGGTGGTGCCCCACACACTCGCAGCGAGACATGCCGTACACCCCGCCCATTCTCTCCCTCCGCAGCGGGCGCCTTCAAAGCAGCCGCCACACGCCCCACCACTCCCATGCCATCGCAGCGAAAAACTAAACGGCTCCTCCTCGTGGACTACCGGTGCCTCTAGCCGGAAGAAGAAGAAGAGGAATGGGGGCATGTCAGCAGCACAGCCGGCAGCGGGAGCAAACAAAACATGGAGACACGCAGCGACGGTGGCGGACACGGCGCAAACTGAAAGAGAGCTGCAGTGATTTACCAAACAAAAAAAAAATGACGCCCAGTAAAAATATCAGCAATAAACAAAAAAATGGAAAAAGAAATTGATGTGGCAGGTGTTTTTACCTCACGTCTCCAGAAGCCCAAGAGGACGGTGTGTGTTCGTATATTTACTGCCCGCAAATATCAAAAAGAAAAGACTGTCAGTGGCACAGTCACACGCACACCTCACATTCGCCCCTCACAGTCTCCGCCGCCCCACGCCTCGTTTGGGCAGTCCGTGCGACGCCCAGCCCCAAGACCGGCGCCTCGTGTGTGGGCGGCAGCGGCAAACAGAAGGGGGAAGAGGTGCCACCCACTGAGAGTGTGCACGGAGTGGCAAAGCAAAAAGTAGCAAAAAGAAAAAAAACATTGGACCACAAGAACGACAAGCAAACTGAGCGCACAAATAGTCTGCGTCGGCCCTGCCAGCGTGTGTCTCTGTGTGTGCTTACCCCTCACCACTGCCCAGCAGCGCAGGCAACGGCAGCCATGAGCAGCGGCAACAGCAGTAAAGTTGTGCGCACAAACGGCGTGGTGATGGCCTCACTGCCGTCCGAAGAATTGGCCACAATGTTCCCACTGGCGTTGCCCTTGGCGGTGACATTACGCGCGGAAGCTTGTGGGGCGCCAGCAACGGACTGCGCAAGGCTTGTTGACCTGCTGCTGTCGTCCTCCGTCTTCGCTTGACGTTCAGAACCTCCCTCTTGTTCACTGTCTTTTCCTGCATTCGGTTGCGCCGTAGCACCGTTAGCGTCGCTTTGTGCCGAGTCACCTCCCGTTTGTGGGCCGGAAGTCGAGTCAGTTAAACCGCCTTTGGGGGCCTCACTTTCCTGGGAGGAAGAATCCACATCAGCGTGGTGCTC